CTAACTTGACGTGGCTGTTACTGAATTCTAAGGCACTTTGGCCGTAGCGTATCAACCGCCTCGGCAACACGTGAAGTTAAGTACTTCCTTTACTGCTCGCCTGATGATCGAAGGCCCTTCTCCGCTAGTTGGACCCTTATTCGAGGGGCCACGGTATCGTAGCGCTCTGAAGATCAATTAGCGCTTAACAGACTACACCGGTGCATTAGGGAAAGGCTGTTGGCGCCCCGTAAGCTGTTTTGAGGGACAAAGCTTGTTACATGGTAACGGTAGCGTCCCTTCTGGAACTTCATAAGGAAATACAAAAACCGAGCGGTTTTACCGTTACCTACTATGCGAGAAGCCAATTTTTTGGCGAAAAATGTTACTGACAAAGAGACACGTTTTGCCGATCACCTCGCTACTTAGTGTATGACACCTGCTTATTTAATTGCAGCTGAAGCGCTTTGTGAATCAAACTTCCTTGTTGGGGCTGAGGAATAGCATCAGCCAATCACTATAGTGGGGGTCGTAGATTTTATTACTCTTTTCCGAGACGAAAGACGAAGGCGCCTGGCTGCAACGGTATCACCAACGTGATGTAAAGCAGTTACCAATTGTGGCTGTAGAACGCCTATGCTGCCTCATCAATTCTGCGATGGCTCGGCACCTTCCCATTGCACTGGAAGACGGAAACTGTTGTGATACTCCCGAAGGCACCACACCAGCTTCTACTTTAAGGCAAATACAGGCCTATCAGTCTCTTGTTAGCCGCTGGCAAAGTAACTGAGGAGGCCATACGGCCCGGTTTGAAAGAATTTCTTGATGCAAGCCACTCCCTGTCTGTGTTTCAATTTGACTTTCGACAAGGACACTCCACTACTCAACAAATTTTCCGCATTACAGAGTGGACGGCCCTTGCCTTAATTTTAAAGAAGACAACGGTTGCCGTCTTTCTTGATGTCGAAAAAGCATTTGTCCGAGTTTGGCACAAGGGTTGCTTTGCGAATTACGTGCCATAGCCCTTCCTACTATTCTTTTTCACTTGATCAAATCTTACTTGGAGGACCGCGTCTTCGATATATATATACATGTGGACGATGCGCGCTCATCACTCATAATAATTTCCGAAAAAATTATCACAAAGCGTCTTGAAGATGTTCAAGCTATTCTTTTTATTAATAAAAAAATTCGTATGCGGTATAGAAATAACAGCCGGAGCCCCTCAAGGATCTCTTTTGTCTTCCTTACTCTTTGCACTTTATCTACGCGACGTAACCACAGCTTGATGTCCTCCACGCGCGGATTGCCTTATATGCAGAAGGCATGGCGATTTACTCCCGTCAAAGTCACTTGCCCTATTACGCCAGCATCTGCTGTACAACCTAGTGACGCTTGCCAATTAGTGTCGTCCTTGGAAAATTACTATAAAGCGGAAAAGAGCAAAGCCCTTTGTATTACAGAGGAGCGCTTTACGCCACTACTGCCGCTGACCTATGTAAATGAGGTATTCTTTGGTGTTCTCAGGCGAAAAAAGTAAATGGGGGTCATTATTGACAATAAACTCTCGAGGTGACCAGCATGTAAACTATATAGCGGTGAAGGTCAAGGCGGTAGTTCAAACTCTTTATCCTTTACTTTGTGCTCGATGCAAACTCTCGTTGCACAACAAGAGGCTCTAGTATTTGCTGTGCATCCTACAGATCATGACATAGGCGTCTACTGCCTGGGTCCACGACTCATTGGCAATAGTCTCTTCGCTTCAAGTGAGAAAAACAAGCTATTAAGCCTTATGATGGTTGCGCCTTGGTTTGTTCGCAACGATGCCTTACATAAAGACTTTCAGGTTGAACCTCTGGGTAACGTTCGAGACAAGGCTATCGCTACCTACTATCGGCTCAGTCAGCACACCAATCGAGTACTGAGAAATGAGGCCAACTACAAAATCTTGGCCTACGCACGCTATCGCTGACCGCGCTATGAGCTCTAAATAGATAATATAAGCTAGGGGTAGAATTAATACATATATGGGAGTTGCTTTAACAGAAGCTTAATGCTAAAGTGTACAATATCACCCTGCTGAGAGCTCGTAAATTCGGTGTTTTCTTTTACAACCCGATCGAGCGCGCTAAGAAATCACTAATAAAAAAAAGGGTAAAATAGATAAGAGAGTTTTTCTCTTCTAGCTCTGTTTTTTTTGCTTGTAGTTGTTCGCTGGTGTTTAACTCTTGCTTGTTTACTATCCTTGGCTTAGCACTCCAAAGAAGGGTTGCATGGGGTTCGGTTTAAAGAAAAAACCTCGTGAAGATAAACCTTGTAGAGAGACATTAATTGAAACCCCGTAAATATTTCAACACTTTATAGTAGTAATTTAGTTGTAAGGTTACAACTGGGATAGTAAATATATATTATTATAAAATCCTTGACAGAATTTATATAAAAAATTAAAGTAAAAACTTTTACTTTTATTCAATTTAGTTGAAAATGTAGGGCAGGGGTACATATGTGCATTATATTCAGAAGAATGCAAAAAAAAAAAATGAAAAAATGGCACGTTAAAATTTTTAATTAAAAAATAAAGTGGTACTCTCGAACAAAAAGGTTGGTCATAATATATTACCAGCGATTTTTTGAGCTTTTTATCTAGATCGACAATATTAACAATTTAATAGTTCTTATCTTAGTATATGCTAACTTATTTCTTTTACAAGAGTGTTAGCACACATATTAAAACATGAAATAAAGAGAAACTGACCGACTTTATAACCCAAAAATACTGAAAATAGCTTAAAGACAGTACTTCGCGCCTTAAAAGGAACCAAAAAACCTTTTAATGTTAAATCAGTACAGTTACGGGGAGCGCTTTGACAAATCAAACACAGTAGCAAAAGAGGTTTTGCTTGAAATATAACTAATGGAATTAAAAGATTTTAAAACTTCAACCTATATAATAAAATTATAATGAAAATGTTCCAACAATTATTTTAAGAACACTTTCTTCATAACCAGTTTTTGGTCTGTTTTTTTTTTGTTTAGCTAATATTTAACCATATAATTTTAAATATTAAATAATACTATTATTTTTAATATTTTTATAAACTATTTTTACAAAACTAATAAGTGGTTTTCATTAATTGGAACCTTTGCAACCATTCACAACTCATAATTTTGAATAGCCACAAATTTTTTTTGTTTACGTTTTAAAGTTTTAATATTTCTTGCTTTGTAGTTATTAAATTGCTGGATTTTTGAGTTAGTTGCTCTCGGAAAAAAATATAGGATTTACAAAACTGTATGAATTTGTAAAACTTATTGTTAGATTTTAAGAGGGTTGGTCTATCTCTATGCCTATAATTCTCGTTTTAGTTAATATGTAAAGGCCCTCTAGGCTTCAAATACTAATGTGCCTTCATATTCTTTAGAAATCAATGCAAAAAGAGCTAATAGAAAACGTAGAGAAGAGAAAACCCCTTATTAGTTTTTTGTCTTTCCTAATATACAATGACACCCTAATAATCTTTTTACAAACCATTAATTACTGCTTCTAGAAGCCTAAAATAAAAGTTATGTCAGTTTAAATAAATTCAATAGGGTGCCAACGATTTAACAATCTTCCTTTTTCATTTGGACTTTTTGGATCCTTGCTTTTCTTCGAGTGAACGAATGACTCGAGCTGGACAGTAAAATGAACTCCTCACGGATTGCATTGCGAGGGCGAGGTATTTATATAGTGCTGGTTAGCTGAGTGTGTATGCTTTTAAAGTACGTATATCTCTTGCTTTGCATCTCTTTTTCACTAATGTGCCCTAGTTCTACTCAAGTAGAACTCTTTATTAAATAACCAAATAAATCAAATGTGATAGTTTCGGCTAGCATTAGCTTGTAACCACCCTGTAGAGGGAGAGTGATGGAAAATGGTTGGCGTTCGTTATTGCTACTTTAGTTGCAGCACAGCACGGCTTAAGGGTTTCTGTTTAAGCTGTTTGTTAGACCTATGCGCATCAATGCTCTTAACCGTTGAGCTACGATGACAACTCTCAACCCCGGTATGATGGCCTTACGTGTTTAACTGGTTAAAGTCAACTAAAATCTTTCTAAGTATTAAGAAAGCTTATAGTCTGAAAACTTAACGTTAGGGGGGATAAGTAGAAATATTCACTTTTCAAAACTATGGATTTTTAAAATATATGTTACAAACTAATGATAATTATGAGAACTAAATGAGTGCTATTTCGTCATTTCTTAGTAAAGGCAAAGCAATTATTCCAAATTAATAATTTTCCTAAGCATAATTAAAAAATTAATATTTCTAATATATTATCTTTTATATATATATTTTTCACAGTATGCTCAAAAAATTTCTGAAGTTCCTAGAGTAGGGTAGGAGAAAGGAGATTATATAATATTGGGGCATCTATCTTAGGGGGTACCACCGACTTCAGCTTAGCCATAAATTTTTTTGCGGTACTTTCTACATACAAAGTTCACGTCTTTATATTAATATAGTGAATATATATAACTAAGAGTCAGTTTGCTTACTAAATATTACCAAATGACGTAACTAAAAAAAATGATAGAATAATGTAATACTCTGTTACAAACATAATAATTACGTTGTTATCAACTTAAATAGTCGCACTGCTATAAACTAAAAAACCTTTCTTTTATAATATGATGATGGCTAATTACATTTAAAAAGTTGACCAACAAAATATAGATTATTAGAGTCATTTCATGTGACTTTACTTAAACCACTAAAAATTATCGCCGCTAAAACCTTTGCCTGGGTCATCCATATTTAAGCTAAATAGTACAAGCAGTAGCCTTGCAGGTTTGTAAAATGCTACTCTAACTTGAAAATTTATAATGGCTTAGAAACATAAACGCTGTCAATTAAAATTATACCCCCTAAGAGGTTCTACATAACCACAATACAGCTTGTGGGGTTAAAAAATTAAGTTACAATTATGATTTTTCACTTCATACATAGCAGCGGTTTAATGATAGTAACGCCATCGTGTGTAGTGTTTTCCAACAACTACTTTGCAATATTATTAAAACATTGTAGGCGCCATGGTGAGTTCTCCTACTTGACTACAATAAGTTTATTTTTTAAGAAAGATTGCCTGAAATTTTATGTAGTTCCGTTATGCAAGATATTGAGAAAAATAATACTATAGTGGAGCGAGTTGGCCCCTATGAGCTTAAGAAAACAATTGGTGTTGGCTCGACGGGTATTCATTTATTTTACGTGTATTCTTTACCTTAAGTTATAGAATATATATTAAGAAATCTGTGGGCTTTATTTTACTGCTTTCTTAACTTAATGACACATATATATAGAATGCCTAGTACAAGTTGGCAGGTTTATTATACTTGAAATATTATCGTATAGGGCATCTATTATAACCGTCAATGGCATGTTACACTTTTATGATTTTAACATATCCTTTAGTTATTCATGAAAGATAGTAGAGTATTATTTTTGGTATTCGTCGTTATCAGTGCGATAAAACGATATATTATTTAAGTTATATAATATCTTTGAGAAACTTTTTAACTTATTACTTTAAAAAATTATTGCTCTCTTTTATAAAGTTTTGTTCAATAATTGTTATAAAATTTATTTTATCTTACTTCAGGCCAAGTGAAACTTGGGGTTCACGCGAAAACTGGCTTCACCGTTGCTGTAAAAATTATATCAAAGAATTTGTTTAAGAAAAAACAGTCTTATATTTTTAATATCGAGCGTGAAATCACGATAATGAAACTTATCAATCATCCTCATGTGCTTTCTTTGTTTGACGTCTACGAGAGTGAAGAATACTTGTAGTCCTTCTTGATTATGATCGGATTCCCTTGAATAACTTTCCTAGAAGATATATAATACTAGAGTACGTAAAAGGGGGAGAACTTTTTCGTTATTTGGTTGAGCAAGGAAAACTTAAAGAGTCGGAAGCCTTGGAATTTTTTAGGCAGATCATTAGCGCGCTTGAGTTCTGTCATCATCACTACATCTGCCATCGCGATCTGAAGCCAGGTCATCGCTTGTCCATACTTTATTTTTACACGTTTGTGTATATAATTTTTATTAGAAAATTTGTTGTTGGATTCCTACAAGAAAGTAAAAATAGCTGATTTTGGAATGGCCAGTATACAACTAAATGAGGAATTTTGCAGAACCAGTTGTGGGTATCTAAACTTTCTCTTTTTAGTGAGTAAAATTTTTATAAGATCTGCAGCAGTTACTTGATTAGAATACTTAAACCTCTTTATATGTTATCCTTTTGGAAATTCAGTTTTGTCGCAGAATTCACTAATAGTTCCTGTTTAAACGTTTAAAATTTTACAGCCAACGTTGCGCACAAGTACTAATGGTTACTTCCAGGTCGCCCCACTACGCCAGTCCGGAAGTGATCTCCGGTCATCCCTACGACGGCCGACTGGCGGACGTATGGAGTTGTGGTGTCATTCTCTACGCCTTACTAACAGGTTCGGATGCCCACTTGGCTGTTCCCACATGTTGTTAGGGCTTCTATTGGGAGTTATTGGAACTGCTTAACACTATTATATATATATCATCGTAATTGTAAAGAAATACTGTGATATTTGATAAAGTTCAGTAAAAGTCATAGCTATAAATAATTGGTTTTTTTATATTAGGGACTCTCCCTTTTGACGAGGATAATACTTCAAGTTTATTAAAGAAAGTTAATTTTTTTTTTTGAACCTTTTTTTATTTATTTTATTTATTTACAACTTTTTTAAAAAATTTCAGATCAAAATAGGCATTTTTCATATTCCCCACCACGTGTCCTCAGCGGCTCAAGATTTAATCAAAAAGATTCTAATAGTTGATCCGAAGAGACGCTACACTGTACCATTTTATTCCCTTTTTTATGATATTATTTTTGATTTTCATATTATAAGATTGCTGATATCAAGCAACATCCGTGGTTTTTAAAAACGGCGGCTTGATGCAGCGCACACAACCAAGTCTCTTAAACTTTTCAAGAGTACTGATAATTCTTTTGTGTTTTAAAAGCGAGAAACTCACGTTTAATTTAATTTGTATATTTTTTCTTATAATATTTATAAACTGCTTGACCAATTTGTGAAGGAAACTTATTATAGTAGCCCTTTACGACATTTTCATCTACAAGCAAATTATCCTTATTCTTTTTTATTTAAAGTCAATAGTTCATCACGAACTTGTGGATCAAGAAGTCTTGCAGAGCATTATACATCTGGGAAAGTTTACCAAAGAGGATTTAATTAAGAAGCTCTGCGAAGAAGGGTCGTCAATACAATTTATGTATTAAATAAACATTCACATAAAAATTCGCCAGAGGCAATGTGGAAAAAATGTTGTATTATTTATTACTGGAAAGAAAGTTGTTACGGCCGGCCATTCTGGATACCCACGTGGACTCGTCGCGGGACTCGCCTGTGAATGTCCCGAGGAAGCGCTTGGACAGCAGCGTCAGTGCTCGCCAATTTGATACGCTTTTGCAGTATCAGCGGATGGTTTATAGGCCAGACAAGAGTCGTTCCGTGTTATTAACTTTTTTTTATTTGGTGAGCAGTTGTAACTGACACTATTATGATTACTTTCTCTAAAGGACACCCGCATTGGCTGCACTTCCCTCCTTAAAAAAATATAACTCCTTACCGTTGCGAAACTCTGCCCCTCTTTTTATGAGAATACCTTCTTCGCCACCTCTTCACATTATGTTATTTATAGTAATAATATTATTATAAATAACAATATTAATCTTGTTATTGAAGGAAAGCAAAGACCAGGTCTTCTTGGTTTGGCTCCTTGTTTGGTCTGGGCACTCAGAAGACTGTTATTAACTTCGAAACTAAAAAGGAGCTTTTTACTTTACTCGAGGAAGTGCCCAAAATTTTAGAGGTTTTACGCAGCCTTCGGCATTCTTTTTTATATATATGGTTTTTTGAGTATTTCTATTGCTTTTAATGCTGTCTTAGTAGAGATTTTCACGCATGTAGCAGCTTTAAATCCCGTGATCAGTAATACTCTAAAAGATTTACCGCTTGTGCAGCGCTTAGCATAAGTGCCGAAGTACTTAGGTTCTTTCCTTTTAGTTGTCACCAGACAGATTACAGTAAATAGCCCCAAGAAAGACACGAAGAACTTTCTTAATACTGAGTTTAGCTGTATAAGTTATCTTATTAGTACAATTCTTTTGATTTGTTTTTATAAAAAAATAAGCCTTATAAATAATATATATAATACACCTAATAAAGTTGAACCATGTTCTGAACAGAAGATCTAACTCTAATGGAAACGTTTTTAAATGCCAGCATCACTATTTCGGTTATAAGAAAGTGAAATTCAAAGTAATAATAAGGGAAAGCCTCTTTTCGAAAGGCTTCCGGCTACTTGTTTTTTCTTATATATCCGGTAAATATTATTAGTTGAAATTATAACTTTGTTGCTGACAAATCTTATTGTTTCAGGTAACGAGTATTGGTTTCATTCATTGTATGAAAGCATTATTAAAGGTGTTCAAATAATATCTTATGAGCCATCTACTTAACTTTAAAAGAGAACAATTGTATTATGTTTTATATTTGTTATTAAAAAGAAACCACAAGTTCAAGTCTAAATATTTACTTTATAAGTTTGTCTCCCCCTTTTAACCCAAGATAAGACCAGACTGTTTAAATAAATTAAAGTTTATGTAAATTTTCTTTTAATTTTTTTCTTTACAGTGTTAGTTTCCAGCTCCTTATGCGTATTTTCGGCCCTTAAACTTTAGCGCCTACATCTGACGAGTAATACGGGGTACTAGGTACTACTTCGCTTGACCGCGCACACATCCGAAATAGTTTGTTTTTAAAAAAAGCAATTGAACAAATATTAATTGCGCTGTAACGCCCTCTAACGCGCAGATAGCAATAATTCTAATGGTCTAAAAAAAAATTTTTTTACGATACTTGGTCTTAGTTTGTCTTGTTTGTTGCCTCCTTCGCGCAATACTAATATAAGAAGAAAGCTTACTATGGGAAATACATGAATATTACTTTGTAGTTAGCAGATATGCTTTTTTTCCTTCTCAATTTACTAACGGCGAATAAAAAGTAACTTTTGTTCTACCCTTGCCTTATTTTAATCACTTTCTTGGCATATCTTTGCGCAGCTGTCCTGCCTTAAAAGACTTGTAAACCTATTATTTATTAAGGAAAAAGTTCGCTTTTACAAGAATCTTACTTTCGCCACTTGACACGTTACGAGTAAGAAAGTATACATTAGAAGCGGACACCACAAGTCTTCTGTTAACTTATGATTTGACTGTTTATTTCAGCATCCTTAGTATAGAAACGCTCTTCTGTGATAGAATAAAGTAATAATAGGGCTACGCTGCACCATATCTCAAATTTTTTAAAAGATTACTTTTACAAAGATTTTCTTGTTTCTGTGGAATTAAAACATAACCAATAGTTTACTTAAGCTAAAAATAAATTGTCGTTGGTAACCTAAAAAGAAGAGACTAGTTAAATATAGTATTATGAAAATAAAGTAAAAATTTTTTTTGCAGACAGTCAAAGAGGCTAAAATAAACCCTTAATAGAAGCACTATAACCTTAAATTTTATTTTTTTTCACTTAATCTTATTTTCAACGAACTAAGCTAAATGCAATATACGGATCTAAACATGCTTAACTTACACCGTTTGAATTATAACTTTCACCATCAAAAACTGAAGGTTACAAAACAATTGTAAGATTGAAGGGTGCAGACTGGTCATCGCTCAGAATTGATAATAACGACATAAGAGTATCCATACCGAGCAAACACAGCTTTTCATAGATATAATTGCCAATAACAGGTTCACTTTACATTTAAGATTCTTTTAGGTGCAAATTAAAACTCTTTTTATTCAAGCAAAGACTTTTTACACCCTTGTTTAGCATAGCCCTCTTTTTATAAAAAAGCAATAAAAAATTAAGATGAATACTTGGGCCACTAGTGTATACAAAGATACTTTTAATTGTACACTACTTTGTTACTCTAACTGAAAAAGTGCTCTACCAGGTTAGATAGACGGCAAACCAACTATTACTCAATATAGCTAAAGATCACTTTTTGGGGTCCTCGTCCTCGACCTTCAATATATATACGTTATATGCATATATAACTATTAAGCGATCTAATCTTGAAGTATTTTATTGCGTTCACCAAGGCTTTTAGAGTAGCTCGTTTACGTCCTTCACGAATTCCTAATCTATTATTGGCGGGCATAGAATAATTTCTACTAATAACTTGGGGTCGCTTTCAAGAATATTAACTGGACGTGTTTATATAAATTAAGCAGTAAACTTAAACTCATGTTTATGAATGCACAAGATAAAAATATAACATATGGTTAATTAAATAAGTTCCTTACAACTTATTTTCTTTTTAATGAAGCGGCTTATACCTATCTGATTTTTTATATTTTCTAAGGGAATAAGTCTAAAATCTTTAGTATATATAAAGATAAATTTATTTTAATATTTATAATTGTAAGCCCTCGTTAAATATATTTTCTTCGTCATCTTCACTGTCCTCAAAGCGTTGAGGTCCAGTTGTAGTTGCTTGTACGGATGTATTCCCTTTAGGCCCAATGACTAATACAAAGTAACCCATACCATTTGTAAAAAGAAGTATGATGGCCAGGATACCCGAGATTCCCAAGCAAAAGAAGAGGGGAATACTCGATCTACATAAAGATTATAAAAGACGACAGGAAGGAATAAAAACCTTACATGAAGTAAAAGAGGCATTTATGCCAGTGCTGTAAATCTTGAAGATATTTAGAAAGGAAAATGGTGTATCTGTTGCTTTCGATGAAGGATGCCTCAAATGAAGCGATAATCATGCCCAAAACTCTATAAAAAAAATTAATACAATAGTAAATATTAATAAATTTTAAAAACTTAAAAGTTACATAGTATAAAATCCAATTAACCAACATTTAAAGTTCAATGAAAAAGCGGTTAGTATCCCAAAAATGATAAGCACTAGGTAAAAAGGCAAAATGTTAATTAATATATATATATTGAAAGGTTAATAATAAATTTACTCGATAAGTTAGAAGCTTCTACGCATAAGACTTATATTATTTAACGACATGCTACTTACGAAAACCAGAAAACACCCCCCACACCTTCACAATCCAAGTACGCTTGAACTCTAGCATCTTCCAGCCATGAAAAGTGTAAGTATTACTTCCCTGAGCTTCTGCGGTTGGCGAGAAGAGTAAAGACTGTGCTCGGCTTTAATGTCACCGGTTCCGATACCTTTTATAACTCACTTAAGGGGATTCACATCGCGGTGGTTAATAAAGGTCTGTCCTACATTTCTCTGCTCAGCTATATGGTTTTAATTGTAATGCTATTACCTATTTCTATATTCTTTTATTATTATTATTATTATTATTATTATTATTATTATTATTATTATTATTATTATTATTATTATCATACTATAACTTTTATTAATTTTATTAACTGTAAAAATTTTTGTTTTTCAAAGGTATCATATCATGAACAGCGACAAACCATTCCTTATCCAAAAACTAGTTGCTAAGATTACAGCCTCGAAAAAGTATTTTAAATACGAGGGCCCAGCATAGCAGAAGTATGAAAAGAATGACACTATCTTAGCCACAAAAAACTACTAAGACAGGAGCTACACAGCTAAGGAAAGCCCTGTGACTCGGACGCTAACTCAAAGATAAGCTCTACTGCGCTATTACTTGGCAATAAGAGGGTAATTTGCAACTCTAAACCAAGACCACAATGATATTTACGCATTTTATTGCTATTATAAAGACTAAATTAACAGTTAAAATAAGAGAGGCACTAATGGTATATAGTACTTTATCATTAATATTTTCGATTTAAGGCGCTCCTCGCACTAAGCGCCTAGTCCTTTTAATTATCCCTTGATTTCCGTTTCTAATTCCTTATTACATTTTCTCTCCCAAGAATGGATGCCCACAAAAATTAGTAAAATAAGCAACCACCCTAGCAGAAAGTAATACCAGTTCTTCTGTATAAACATTAAAGCTTTATCCACCTCGGGAGGCAAGACGCCTAATAACCCTTCTATTGTGCCAATGACGTCAACGTCACCAATAATCCTACACCCCCCTTTTCCGTCACAAAATCCAGTATTGTCAGCACATGTCTTATCAGAAGGATAAAAATGGGGCTTAAAAGAGCTGTTATATCTAGCTAATCCTACAGCCGAAGTGATCAACTCATTACCATTAAGTCTATGTTTACAACAAACAACACAATCCGGATGATAATTTTTTTCACCCAAGGAATTTTTTAGACAGTTAGAGCCTTCAAGGTGATACTTCAAGCAAACATTATTTTTTACATCGCGAGTGCATTCCGTTTCCCCAGGGTTGAGTCTAGAGGGTTGACACATGTAGGCGTCGTTCCCACAGGTGTTAGATGTGGATTTGAATTCGCTCTTTGGGCATACAGCCTTCTTGCCATCGCAGTAGGCATCTTTACGACACTCTGACGCAGTTCGACATTTGATACTTTTGTTTTTGGAAATCTGGCAAGATGGCGTACAGCACACATGATTATGTGGACTACATTGGGCCCCTTTTTTCAAAGTGCACTGCTCCGTGCAACATTGATCTTTTTCACAATTGAATCCACAGTCGCATTCCTCAGTGCCATCCAAGACCCCATTGCCACAGGAGGAATAAGATTGTAAACAATAAGCCCTCTCCTTTAAAACCTCCATAATGCTTTTAATGGAACAAGAAGAAAATCTAAAATTATCAGGATTTTTGCCACTATTAACTCTGGGATACATAATATAGATTTCTTCCGAGGGTATTTTGCATGAGCTTGTCTCAACGTCATGCAGTGCACCAAAATTATGGCCAAGTTCGTGCGCAAGGACGAGGGTAAAAAGTTTGTTAGGAAGTGGGTTCTTATCACCGTTAAAAGAAGAAAGACCCACGTTATAACTCACACTGTTCCGCCTTTTCCCACAAATTCCAGCTATATTTTGGGGTGTGGCTAGATAAGCCAAGCCTAAAGAGTTCTCCGAGAGCTTTCTTGACAAAATAAGATGGCTCAAACAATAAGAGCTCTGGTCTTTACGAGAAAAAGAATTAAGAATTATGGTGGCATTTTCCGATTCGGCTAAGTACGGCGAATTATAATCTAAGACGGTTAAATTAGAAATTTTGAGTTGAGCACTAAATTTTGGCGTAATCATTTGAAAAATCTGATTTATCTCTTTGAAAATTAAAAACATTTCTCTTGACAAATCATAGAGGTTATGACCAAATCGCTGTAATAACGCAGCTTCAACAAAAAGGTGCACGTTACATGTAAGATTACGTGATGAAGATATAAGATTTCTACGGTATATATTTAAAACTTTTGGGTAATAGCTATCATAAGACTTATAGTACAGCGCTGAATTATTAACTTCTATATAATCTGAGAGTTTTTCGGGAAGAACCACATCTTCATCTCCGTACACAATGTTAGTTGGCATTTTGGAAAAATTGAACTTGACGGCTGGTTCGAGATGAAGCTTCCAACCTTCTCCTCCCATAATCCCAACAAAAATATTGTCTTGATTAATGTAGCCGTGGGCAAAAGATTTGGAATCGTTAAACAGTTTGCCCTCAAGATAGCTAAATAGTAAATACTAAATACGGTACAATTTAAAATTATATCACTTGAAAAACCTGTTAACGCTTTTATCTGTCTCTGTGTTTACAAAGGGGAGCGAATCCCGAACTTCAAAGACAATTCGGTAATAACGACCAAAAGCGGTTAAAGAGAGTTCAACTTTTTTTGGATCATATGGATAATTTTCAATATGGGGAGACGTCAACTCATATCGAGAGAGCGGTATTCCATCTAATACTATCAAAGAAAATTCTTAGAAATACAGAATGTTAAACAAAATACTGTACTATCTGTTTTAGTATTAGAAAATAAAACTCTAAATATTATGTATATAAAAAAAATTAATATTTAAAACTTGACTGTTGTGATAATTAGGCCTTTTAGTTCTACCAGCAGTCCCTTTAAAAAACAACAATATAACATGCAACAGAGTCAAAACAAGTAGCATTTTGAGTTAAATGACGGTAAGGAGAAAATTGAAGAGAATGCATTATAAAAAGAACGGTGCACCAATTGCTTGTATAGAAGAACTATTATCTCTACTACCGCGCACACTTTAGGCTGACGTTTAAACAAATAACCACTTTGTCCAAGTAGGATACGGCAGCCTTATAGAATATAAAGTTTTAAAATACACCATGCAATATCGCACAATTTACTAAATTTTCCATGTTATACACGCCTATAACAATTTGTGTGAATCACTGCGGACACTGCATGGTTAAAAGTGGGATTAAAATTGTGGTTCCTGCCGTAGAGTTTGCTAACCCTCAAGGTACTTATTGGTTTTCTTATCAAGCACATTTTCATATCTTTTTAAAAACTGTCCAATAGGAAGCACTGGAAAACATCTTAACGCACATTACTATATTTAGTTATCTATTTATTCATTATACGAACTTTCAACCTCTCTGGTCTTTGTCTTTGGGGGCAGTTGGGGTTCAAAAGGCTTGCTACCTCTATTTATTTCAACTTTAATGTTATAAGCGCTACAATCAGCTCGAGAGACACGCGAGAGGGGGGTCTTAACTAACGAAACATAAAGCTTCATGACTGACAAAGCTTAAAGCAGATTTTTTATTCTCTTAATTTGTTTATTTAGAGTTTTTGGTCCGAGTTTTGTTATTGTTTTGGGTAATATCCCTATATAAGTTAAGAATTGTTAGCTTTTTCTCGTAAAATAAAAACAGGTTGTGGTAGCTGAGGCCCATCCTAAACCACAATCTCGTAAAATTTTAATAAACTTTTAACGTTTTATTGTATTTCTAATGAATTTAAACTTTTTTGCATAGAATAAACATTGCACTGAAAATCGACACAGAGGTGCGAGTGACATATTGCTAACTTAACGGTAGTTCAAAAAGATTTTTTCTTTGGAGTCTGTAATTATTATAAAAAAAAAGTTGCCCCTCGTTTAAGTGCAGAGTATATATTATTTTCATTATTGAACTAAACGCCCTATTTAAGAGGTTTTTCGGTTTGCTAAGCGCACTTGTAGGAGGTAACTACAAAAACGGGCTTCTGGTCTGCAAAGCACAGGGAGACCCCAATTACCTCTTGCATGGAGGAGCAGACCTCCAAGTAGTCTTCACCAGATGGCCCGGAAATTGTGTCTATGCGATGGCTAGGTGCGCAGTAGACTATCATTCGTGCGCTCTACTTGGCCAATAAACGAGGACTTGCAGACCCGGTGAGCTGGCCTTATAGAAAGGCTCGAAAGAAGAGGGACTACATAGCTACATTACTCGACTGTATTACCCTTAAATATCCTACAGCGGTGCCAAATTTTCGGGCACATTCGTAAAAACCAATAAACTTAATTCCTTTGTGCAAACTGCGGTAAAAAGCACTTTCCTCTAGCCGCGCTCCTCTTAAATACGAGCCCTGTGTTTCTGACTAAGAGAAACATTCGTACTTAGCCTTCTTCTATGGGGATATTTCACTAGATGCAACTAAAGTACATACAGCGAGGAGCAACTAAAGGCTATAGTTAGTTTTGCTGGATGATATTACTGCGATAAATGAAAAAATAGAGACCACAAGATGCCCCCTTGGGAATAGCCCAGACCTTCCCAAAAGTCAGTATTTACTTAAACCCTGTTAGATTTCCCACCAAAACATAAAGTGGATGTCCACCATAAGGGGCAGGAAATCATTTTTTAAGGTATCGAATTCTAACAAACTAATAGTTACCGTTAAGTGTAACTTCCTCAATTTTTTTTTAGCTAAGCTCAGAGGCTAACTTAATTTATAGAATTCTAATTCTTATCTATTTCAGTCTTTTAAGCAGAGTAATAACATCAGAAGAGTCAATACTAGCAAAGCAGAAAATTTTGCAATCAGAGCTAAAGAACGGTACTTCTTTTTACAATCTCTTGAGGAAAAAATATATACCAAATAATTCATTCGAAAAAAATATAAGAACACTTTAGTTGCCTAAAATGACTGAAAGATTTCGTTGTGGTCAAGCAGAGAAGTCGCTAATCAACTGCTTTATAAATATAAAGCGGGCAGGGGTAGTCTAAAATAAACCCTTCCTTGAAGGATGTCGTTTTCGTTTTGTGAGTCCAAGTATTGAAGTTCGCTTCGTATGTACTTTACCATTGACGCCAGCGCCTCAACCGTGCAAGTACTGCTAAAAACATGTCTAACATTTATTTACAAACTTTTAATATTCGATTAAAGATTCAGAAGTTATAAGTTATGAACAAAAAAAAGTAGCAGAGTTAATAAAACAGTAACTGCGATACTACGCGTATTTAATAAAACACATCTACATACTCCCACAAAACTGAGGATAACTCGCAATCAGTTCCCAGAATGCCTAAAAATATACAAGTAAGTCTAAATTGAATAATCCGCAAACGAAATTTAAATACTTAAAAAAAACGGAAAGTTTTTAATTTATATTTTTATAAGGAAACTGACTGCTCAAATCTCGTTTTAAATACGTAAACTTATCTTACTTAAAAAGGACGACACTAAAACTAGTGATACTAATAAAAATAAATAAAAGATAGATATCATTAAATGAAAAGCTTTTATTTAGCTATTTCCTAAAAATTCCAACCGCAACTTCACTGAATTAAAACCGCACAACTTGTAAAAGTACACTCTCAACGCCGAAACGTGTGGAAGGGGGTTTCCAGCGAACTGCAAGTTAGTAACCCGCTAAGTCAAACTACCAAAAAGAATATTTGTAAAGTACTGCCTGCTCAAAATTCCTTATACAAGCAATTTTTATATTTACTACCGTGGATACTTATAACAGAATATATAAAAAAAAGTCAAACGCTTTAAAAATAAATATTAATTTTATCACTTACACTTTTTTTATATAATGAACAACTACGCAAAACTTATTAAATTAATAAGTTTAAAAATATTTTTAAATTTAATTTAAGAATACCTTTATCAAGTGAACACATAAGACACACAGACAACTTGTAATATTCCTTCGTCATACGAATAACAAAGATGTCACTGTTAATCTTTAAAAAAAAGTTAAAAATATAGAAAAAAAGGAAAAAAAGAGCTAAATAAAAATATAACTCCGAGCAGCAGTAAACGGTGTTCAATGTCGTCTAAAAATAAACTAAAGAGTTCCTTACTGAGAGCTTCAGTCTCAGCGGAACAAAGATTCAGCCGACAGGTAGAAAACCAGACGTGGAGGATAGTCTTCAGCCACCACGAGTGAAAAGTGTCGGGAAATTCAAAAACTAAAAAATTAACTTCAGGAAACTTAACGAGCAGTAATGAATAACCCAATGGGAAAAAAGTGCTACTATTGTTATATCAAGGTTTATACGCAAAAAGTCTTTGATATATCGAAAGATGTCAATAAACAAAAGTGTAAGTCCATGGCTTGCTTGTGTGATTTTTATGTTATTAAATGTACGCGCAATAGCCGGGGATGTTCGCTATACCATACAAGAACTTATTACTTATGTAAAAGTTAAATACTTAATACATAAAATATAACTAAAATTCAGACATAAATAACTTTCACCGATTAACAGATTTTCGCAGTTACAAATACTATAAAATCGAACTTTCATCAAAACAAGGGTGAGAAGTGTGTTTCAAGCAAACAGAATACAATCGCCTTGAATAAAACATGACCCGAGGTTTCTTTCCGTACAATCCAAACCAACGGCTAAAAAATTTAGAAAGCGAACTCCTAAAAAAATTAATACAAAAATTTTAATATAAACGTTGCAAATAAAATGACTACAATTAGTTTTTATCAATAGGGAAAAAGATTTACAAGCAAGGTGAAAATTTCCTTACAAATAGTGGCAAGTTGAAAATTATGTAAATCACACGATTATTAAAGATAATTTCTGTTAAATAGTTAAAAAATAGTAAACTAGTTATCGCTATTACTTTATAAAGTTTGACTAATTTCCTAAGGACAAAATAGAAAAAAATTATTTAATAAATAATGGAAACTTATAATATTATAAAATATTAAGAAAAAAACGACAAAAGGGGATACAAAGAAAAAAATAGTAGCATAGTATTAATAAAATAATTATTATTTCTGTTTTTTTTATCAATATTACAACTGTTTTTTTTATATATAATAAGTTATTTCCAATCTTATTTTAAGCTTGCTTCAATTTTAAAAAAAAACAAAAAAAAATATTATAAAAAATAACTTCATTTCAGAGTCCAAAAATTCTTCGTAACTCATCAAAAAGGGATCCTTTGGCGCAGAAAAATTCAATAAATTATTACTATTTACTTTACTTATATAACTATTTTTATTGTTATTGCATTCGTGTTTATTATTATTACTGTTTTCAATAAAAGTTTTAGGGATATAGCTATAACCATATATTATTCTAAGGTTGTTAGAAGACTTAAAATTATTCGATAATCCTTGTTTTCCAAAAATAAAAGTAACAAGAATCGAAAACGTCTATATAGTTTTAAATAAAAAGGTATTGTAAAGAAATAAATATATTTAAAAATTAAAAAGATAGAAAATAATTTTTTTAGAATAAAATATATTTACCTTCCGAGTTAATACACTATTTATATCATAATTTTTAAACATGCTGAAAGTTTTAAATTTATTATTTAATTTGTGCAATATATGTATGATGGTTAATTCATATATACTTTTAAGTACATCCCCAATACAGAGCCAAACTTTAGAATATAATTTTTTTTATCACATGCTGCCGGCTTATAGTTTATGGAGCCCTAGTTACCGTTGTCCCTTCCACAAGAAATTGTTGAAAGGTATTTGTTGTGCATGACTTTATATTGCAAATTCAGCCAATTTTAAGTTTTACTAGACTACTACGGAGTTTCTGTGGTTCATAAATTATACTTTTTTTACCTTTTGACTTCCAAACGGAGACAATTAAGTAACTGCTTTCAAAACTGAGAATTTAAGCTATAAAGAATAGCGAACAATTTAATAGTTTATCAGCTGCTTTTGTATATTTACAAAATCTACTCTGATACAAAGATCTATAACTCTAATACAGCATATCTGGTGAAAAGCACAAAGCACTTTAACCCTTTAAACTAAAATCACCTCATGAGGAGTGTAATTACTTCTGCGGGTGGCCGCCAGAGACTACGACGTGCTGTGCTCTCAACTCGATGTATTCGCAATTTGTTGTCGAGCCCAAAAAGAAGTCATTTACTAAACCAGCGTGCCTAGAGTTACCGCCTTTTTGTATAATATGTTACATATGTTATACATAATCAAACAACAATTTTCTATTATCAATAACACTATAGAATAATGGAAATCCTCGTTAAACAATTTAATAAGCTTTAACTGATTCCACACGTATAGTTACTTTAGACACAAAGTCAATTTTTCAAGATGATAAAGGGGTTAAAAAGTTATTTATTAAAAAAAAGTGGTGTCATGTCGCATCCGTCTTCTCTTATAACAGAGTTTTCGATGTCCTTAAATATTTGAAACCATTAAAAAACATTAAGATCAACACATATTTCATTTTGGTTTGGTAACTAACACTTACCCACAACAAATATAAGGATAACTAAGGAACCCCTTTAAAACCAATAGTTAACAAGTAAAACAACCTGACATATCACACAAATTATAAAAATGTACCATTAGCTTTAAACACCTCATGTTATAAACTTGAATTTGGATTAGCTTTTATAGAAGTTTCTATTATAGGAACAAAAATTAATTTTAATTGTAGTATGTAAACGAATTAATGAAAAACTTCACGTAATAGAACCTCACTTTAGTAGATTTTAGTACACACGTTGATATTCAACATTACTGATAACTATTTATATCTAAGAAACCACACAAACACTGTGTGGTACTTTAGTATTTTGTAATTATCAAGTTTATTATAGTTATGAAGAATTTAATTAGATTTTAGAAAAGTTGCCCCACAAACTATTTACTTAATGGTCCTTTAGACTACTAAGTTTCCTTACTAACTTTGATTTCCTCTTAACTAAAGCTATCTTCAAACGATTCTGCGAATTCTCTAAACCAACGTCAAACTACAACAATGAAGGCGTGGCAAGCATCAAGGTAAAGAAGAGCGAAGCAAATAAATACGACAGCCAAACACGTTTTTTTTTATTTAGGCACTGGAATACTATGACGGTCAGTCTTCGTTAAAAACCCTTAGCCACTCAATCTGAATTCCCTTCTGTTGGGGTTAAGCAGGTTTACCCACCAGTTTACGCTCTTTATAGAACAAATTACTGTACTAAAGGGCTAGAAAAGCGAAAGATTTTCGGTTCGGGTTTCTATCATTTGGGCAAGTGTGGTGGAAAGTTACCAAAAACCACCACCGGGAGATTCAGCCTTGGGCGCAAGACCCGAGACCACTTGCTGTATTTTTAAATTATTAGCTGCATAATTAATCTTAATTAGCTAACTCCTCACTTAATTAAATTGTAAAGTCGTGCTATAAAAAGATTAAATTTTAAACACTTGATGTCAACAACTCGTATGTCAAATTTAAAAACAAAATATTATGACCTCTTTTAAATAAACCTATTAGTTTAGCCTATCAAGCTCAAGCATGCCGTTTTGTTAATCATAGTTCAACCAATCGTTTTTTATTAAACAAAGGTATTTAAATTATATGACGGTGTTTGATGTTTTAGGGTTTAAGCAAAACTGTAAAAAGGCAATGCTCGGTAGTTAATTAAATTATCATCGAGCCTGTAAGTTTTTAATTAACAATAATAGTTAAGAAAACTAGTTTCATTGAAGTTAATAGGTGATGTACAGATGCAAGTTATTAAACATATCGCGATATTTTTGTAACTAAAAGAAATCTTACTTCATAATACTTAAAAACATTTAAATGAATGTTTAGCCAAGAATTAAAAAATAATAACTAATTAGTTTACCATTTACAACTTACAAGTTGTAGCCTACCAAAAAATTTAAATAAAAAGCGTTTCTATGATCAGCAAAGCGTCAGAAAGTTACTTTGTGATATCTGGTTGAAAAGTCTTTTATGATTATTAGACTGATAAACCAAAAAAGCGCAGAGCTGTTCATTGTTTTCGTAATAAATATTAAAATATTTTAAGCGGTTTGGTTAAATAAAAAAAATAAATGCACAATTAAAAATAAAAATTACTTTAAATGGGGTATTTACCGCTAAACACGTCAACAACCGAGTAAAATACTGTTGTAATCTTTTTTACGATTTTATGGTCTATATACATATTTTAAATAACTATGGAAATTAAAATAAACTACTTTTATTATTTCCAGTAACCGATTTACCTAAATACAAAATGATAAAACCATCCTACTGTGCCTACACAATAGAAGACCATAAGGTATTAAATTTTTGAACTGGCAACAAAATATTTATGATTTTATTTATAATTTAGAAGGAAAATTTCGCTCCTTCTATAGCAAAATACCCAAACACAGATAAAGATCGTGTGAGCTACGCTACTTATTTGCAACTTGAAAAATTACTGGATTGTCAAAATCTAAGGTCAGCGGGACCAGTTCACGACGAACATCTCTTTATTGTGATTCACCAGGTTTGACTTAAAAAATTATTTTTTTTGAAGAGTTTACTATCGTTTAGACTTATGAGCTCTGGTTTAAACAACTTCTTTACGAGTTGGATTCCATTATTCAATTATTCCAAAAAGAATATGTGGAAGAGTGCGCAATGCTAACAGTAATAAATAGGCTTAAGCGGATGCTTACAATTTTTAACGTTCTCATTAAGCAATTTGAAGTAAAAAAGAAGTTTTTAAATCTGAATAAACTCCAAATTTGTTTCTAAAATAGATTCTTGAAACCATGACTCCGTTTGAATTTAACGAATTTAGAGAATTTTTAACTCCTGCTTCTGGGTTTCAGAGTATGCAATTTAGGTTATTAGGTATAATAAATTATATATATAAAAAAACTATATAATAGATAAAAAGAGTAATATAAGCTTTACGCTTACAGTTTAAAATTTTTTGTCGCAGAAAATCGTCTTGGTTTACGTCCAATAAATCGCGTGCACTATAACAGAGAGGAGTATTGGTGTCCCTTTTCAAGCACAGAGGCAGATTCCATTCGAAGTTCGGAAACTCTCAACCTTTTTAACCTCGTCGAGGTGGTTTTCTTTTTCCTATGTTCGACTAATTTTTTAAACATGTTACTTCGTGACTTGTAGCACTAAATGCCATACCAAATTAATATTCTGGCTTTAGTTTTGTAACATGTATTGCTTTAAAACATTTTAGACTTTTATCAACTTATTTATTATTTGTAAAGCTCTGCATAATATAAACTTATATTAAAAACTTTTCTTGGCAGTGATCTGTGTTTTTTTTAAAAATTGTATTTAAGCGGTGGTTGGAGCGAACACCTGGTTTAAAAGAAAAAAATTTTAACTTCTGGAAAGTGTATAGATTTGCGGTTGATGGTTATTTAAAAGAATTGCAAGAAAAGATTGAGGCTATTGTATGTCAGAACACATATTAGTTTATTTATTTCATCTACACTATTAAAATACAAAAACGTCAGGTGGACCAAAATTTACAAGAAACTGAACTTTTTAATTATAATAAAATTAAAGAAACCTTTGACAAGTATGTGTATATATATAAAAGTAGCATTGTGTGTATTAAAATTTTATCATGAAATATAATCGATTTAAAGAATCCTTGATGAAGTTAAGTATAAAGAAGCCAAAAATAGCGGACGTCTTTCTCTCTCTCATAAAGCTTTTCAAGGAATTTAAATATTTAACTTATAATTCTTTACACAAAAATACCTTCTACAGGTGCGCTTATGATTTGCTTGTATCGGGAGGTGCCGGGATTCCACACAGCCTTTATGTTTCTCCAACTATTAATTGTATAATTCTTAAATATGAGCAGTTTATAGAGAAAAGTTCATATAATCAAAAAGGACATAGACGAGAAATTTTCCACTTGGCGCTACCATCATGTTTTGTTGGTCCGCAGAATGATTGGAACGAGGATAGGAACAGGTAACTGAAAGAACCTTATAGCAAGGAAAGCGTTGTCCTCAACCACCAGCAGGCGGTAGCAGCGGTTATTACTACCTCAAAGCTACCACAGCCGACAGATATAGAATATTTCTAGATTTCGCCAGTTTATCGAACTACATACTTCCAAAATCTTGTCTTCCCAAGGTATAACTTCCTTTAGGCGTTTAATCACATATCTATTCGCTTTAAAAGTTATATGAACAGTATTGAATTACAATACATTTTACAATTATCACAAATTTACTCGGAGAGACCGAAATTTGTCAAATTACTAGTAGATTTGAAAGTATAACGTTCATCTGTTAACGAATTGACCTTTTACGGCTTAGAACTCTCTTTGTTTGAAAAAAAAAATTGTCCTCTCACCTCTTACCCCATCTATGAGTTATCGTAGCTGTTTTGATAACTAAGTAGGAAACTTCTTTTTTGTAAAAAAAAACTTATATAGCACTCCCTTTTCCGGTGCGTGTTATAAAATATGCTGACTAAAAGTTGTTAGATTACTATTGAGAAAATTACAGTAGATGCAACGGTTATTAACTGCAAAATCTCTTTTTTAGGGGTGATTTAAAGAACAACATATACTTATTGCCTACTTACTTATTAATAATATTTAACTAAGTTACCAGAGGGGGTCTTTCTGTCGGAGCAGCAGTGAAAACTAGATTATTAATAAAAACTTTTTCGCATTAATTTTATGGTATAAAAAGGGACCTCATTTTTTAAGATTTTAAATCTATCACCGTGCGCTTTTACTAGGGAATTTTTTTTTTTGTTATTTTAGAATTTTAAAGTATGTACTTTACTGCTTTAGGTAAGTAGATAGACGGGTTTAAAAACCACAATTGTAAAGGCGTCCTCTGTTCACTGTCTACATCGTTAGACTCGTATAACTATTCATACCTTAGGTTTAACTACCCATCAACAATGAAGATTGATAATATTTATTTCCTACTATAGCAAAGTTATTAGTAGAGGTAGAAACCCAAGTGATTTACTTATTTCTTATTATTTTGTAAACTATGATTCTGATACATTTTGAGGTTGGCCTCTTCGCTCACCAGCTCTCAATACCTAAAATTGAAGAAAAGGAAAAATCGGGCTTTGCCCCATACTTTATTCTCTGGTTTGTTATACCATAATTAAACCTTTATAAAAGGTTAATAATGAGTTCCATATATGAGTATTTGTTTAGATTAGGTTTAAACAAGTTTCGTTAGGAAGACAAGTTAAAACAAAAAATCTGTCAAAAAGTTCAAAAAGAGGCTTTCCTTCATATTATTAGGTTATGTTTATAAATGGTTTATACTTGCAAAATTAATTATTCATGGCTAATTATTCGTTCTTGTATACGTGAATATTTTCCTGTGTATATGGTGGTGTTGTCTGTGAATTTCTTCAGTCTCGAGAGACTGAGAGCAAGCGGAGATATATAGGGCTCAGTCTTCCGCAATTTGGCTTACGTGTGGCAGAGGACCTGCTTAAACCACCGCAGAAAGAAGCGACTACAAATACGAGAGCCGAAGTACTCTAAAGAACGCGCATGAAAGAGTATTAGGTAGGTATACTAACTACGGGCTTTCTTACAGAAAGGGGACACCTGTTTATAGCTCATTATAAAAGAAGACCATATAATTTCAGGAAGTATGTTTTATTAAAAAATATCTAACCAAAAGACGTCCGCACCAATACGTAGCGGTATCATACTCGTGGCATTAATGTAAACGTGATTTTTCAGAGTTAATTCTGACCTCCTACAACCCTGATAATGTTTCTTTATGATACGCACGAAATTAGAAATAAGAAGAACTTCATTGCATTGTTTAGCATGTAAATTGGTACAAATCTAGCTGGGCAGCATTAGCTCTTTTAATAATCTATTTTATATGGATTCACCTAGCTCAGCCCGTTGTCTATGGCCACCGCAATTCTATTAATTTCATAAAACTCATAGCCCATAAAGGGGTCGATGGTAGATGGGAACATCTGTATAGTGCTTGTAAATGAGATTGCTTGAGAGACAAGAGAGTATAGCTGAAGATAGCACGCACAACCAATTCTTGCTCCGCAATGAAAATTTGCTCCTGATAAAGTATACAGTACAGTGCTGCGCGGATACTGCAACTAAATGTTGTCAAGAACGATCCCTAGGTATTTGACTTTAATCACCGCAGTAACCATGTAAAAGGACAGCGCTATTAGTGTATGACGCTTCTACGTATGCAGCGTAGCAACCACACCCTTGCACAACACGCTTACGCAGTTGAACAGTCAGATTACCTGTTTATAAGAATGCTCGAGTCGGGAAAGCCTGGCTGGAAGTAAAATGCTGGCAGTGTCTCTAGGTAGCCTCAATCTCTTGCCTAAGGACCCCTCTGTCGGGGATAGTTTTTAGCTGTTTTTCCACCAAACTAGGCCAAGCCTCTTCTAAAGGGCGTCGTGCCATATAGATTAGATTAAGCAAGACATGAGGCTCTTTTATAATTAGAACTTGGTAATATGTCAGGTTAATAACTTAAAAGAGCTTCATAAGAAAATCCCTGCTTATGGCGGTAGTGATGAATTTTTTTAAGACAAAAGCACGTACGTTATATTAACAGGTGGGTAAGCTAAAGCTCACGGTTTGTGGACTCAGCCTTTAAATCAACCTTAAATGCGAATCATCTAATCTTTGAGACAAAAGAACTTTTGCGTAGTTAAGTATTCTTGCCGAATTTTAAATGAAACTCTGACAACGTACTACTAGCGAGGAGGACCGCTTTTGAAAGGCGCGTTAAAGTGATCAAGTCCACGTGGCGACTGCTGATGGGTTACCCTATGTTTGTTTTGGCAGGTACACCGATCGTAATGCTTTCAGCAGCAACACAACGGTTGTCTTCATCCATCACATGGTAAGGTATTTAAGGTCGAGGGGAGCAGAGATGATTTGTCGCTGCACACAACTTTTGTTATAGCATCACAATAATAACGCCGTGGGGCCCTAGCGCTTTTCGAGTAAAGTTCTTACGTTTTTCTATAATACAAAGGGGGCAGTTTAGGATGAGCTAGAAGTGCAGCTTGCAAAAGTTTTGTAGAAACTAAAAAATTTGGGCTTCAATGAAATAAATTATTGGTTCATATACTTGTAAAAACTATAATACAAGCAATAGTTATACAATTTAATAAGATTTTTAACGCGTACCTGAATTTTTGGGGGTGAGGTTATATACGCAAACACCGAAGACAGAAAAGAAGAGTAGCATTGGTTAGAAGTTGCACCCACTATTTCTAGAGTATGCGCGTTAATGCTTTAAACCGCTGAGCTATGGCGATAACTGTTAATCCGGGTATGACGAATTTACGTATTTAGCCATTAACATTCCTACTGGACAAACTCGCTCATAAACCAACGTTTTTAACGAGATGACCCATTAATAAAAATACATTTTAAAACATTTCTTTATAATTTGCAAAATAGAATTAGTGATATAAATTGCGCGGGCGTAGAAAGAGCGGGAGCTATAAGAAAATTCGCCTTAATATACCCGTTCGGCTAACGGGTTCGTAGACCCGGTTTTTTAAAACTACCCTCAGTGAGAGCTAACCTTACCCAAACTATATGTGATTGCTTTATATCTATTACTTGTAAATAAAAAAGCGTGTCATCTATTCCTTAGTGGCTTTACGATAAGTTATGTAATAACGTACCGCGCACTCTGCTTCACCTTCACTACTAAGTGCAAGTGCAAAGCAAATGTAATAAATCGAGTTCAGTAGATTAGAGCCCTAGCGAGGGTTCAACTTGACTTGAATCTAAGTTTTAAAATTTTTGTTTAGGCTTAATTTAAGTGGCTAGGAAGCTAATAAGCAAAATCACCTGAATAATAAAAATTCAAAACATGATTTACAATAATGTGCATGGCCAGTACATTATACTTTTTATCCTTTTGTTTCTTTTGGATTGCTATTTATTTCAAAATTACTTTATTGCTGGGTAATAAAACCTGCTATTACTTCATTTACCTTATTATTAGAATTGTTGCTTAAGCGTTTATTAAATAAAGCTTCATTATTTTGTAATTTTAAATGTTTTCTTTATTTTTCTAATACCATCTTTTTTTATAAGCTATCATATATAATAATTAGAAAAAGTAAACTAAAAAAGTACTTTAAAGCTTTGTAAAAAGCGACTACCATGGGAAGTTAAAACCCTATCGACTGCTAATAGTCTATTTGACCCTTCGCAGCAGAGTAAGTCTCCCGTCTTTAATGATTTCTATCGTGATAAAGGTGTTTATTTAAAAAGGTTTCTATATGGCAAAAACTTAGTGAGAACAAAAAAAAATTACTATTGTTAGTAAATATAGTTTTCCTTGCTCAAGGGATTTAAAATAAAAGGGTGCTCAGACCGAGTATCATGATAATTTTTTATATTAAAAAAGGAGAACTGGAAATTTATTAAGTTTGCATCAATAGTTGCTTTCTTTATAACAATTAGTTTGTGAAAAATAATAGTTTTCTTTTTATGTAGTGTAGAACGTCCTTCATTTTATGTTTTAATGAGGTCAGGACGGTAAAAATTTTGTCAGCAAGTATTATGTTATAATAGTATTAAGAAGAAATTGATAGTGGTAGAAAAGGTAGGCTGAGATAAAAGAGTAATTTTTTTTCACCGCAGTTTTCAACCAGTTCACTCAAATTATCTCTAAGGGTTTCATGATTGCTGCCAATTGCCTTTAGTGTATTATATTGTTTATTTATTAGCACTATATTATAGCATAATCATGCTCTTTTCTTATTTAACTATATTACTCTGGCATCCTACAGCCTTTATAAATAACTTAAACTTAAATTATATGGAAAGCTCTAATGAACAAAATTAGTTAATTATAATTGGTTTGAGGGGGCAAGAGCGTAGAAATAACAAATGATTAATAAAGTGTGGTAATAAGATGTATACTTATCACAAAAATGGGATAAAAGCGACAAATCAGCGAGCTTAGAAGTTAATTATAGAAGTTTATGAAAGCTAAGCAATTATGTAGGTGGCCGAAGTATTTAGTTGGAAAGATTAAAAATAAAGAAAAAGTAAAAATACTAAAATTTGTTATATAAAAAATTGAGAAGTATCTGGCTAGGGAGAGTGACCGCACAATGAATTTGGGATTTATTTTAAACGGTTGCATGATGAAAAACCCATAAAAAATTCCCACGAAAAGAAGAGCATTTAATTACCAGGAGCATTTTCAAAGTCTTTAAGAATACTTATGGTTTTGAAAGATATTCATATATTAATAGCTTGTAAGATGCTGCACTGCCCAGATTATATAGCTGCAATCATGAAAAACCTAAAGTAAGTTTTTACCATGTTGCTCAGTTAAGGCGAAGATTGTAAAGGAAGTGGTTGTTCAAAAGAAACGGTTAATGGTATCAAATTAAACAGCATTGGAACCAAAAAGTAGCATGTGCACTCTTAAATTAAGATAGTTTTAAGTGTTCATATAACCCCTTTGAAGTGTAGAAAGTCACTTCCTTGGTGAATGAGTATATTATTAGCTAACACTATTGCAATCTTAGATTTAGCCACAAAGCTGGTTTATTTAGCCAAACTTTATGCCAGTTTAGTGATTTCATTCCGCAACTAATTACCGCTTTAGAGTAGTGTTCTGTAGATCTCACCCATGATCTCTCTAAGCGTTGTATCAGATTAT